TTGTGCCTGCTGCGGATTGTGCCAGCGAGCTTCTACCATATCCAAGAACTCTTCTAATGTAAGGGTTTTACCCCAATCTGCCATGCGTCGTCCATACCCGGCCTTCGCTACTATACCATCCAGCCATTTGGCTGCCTTACCCTCAAGGTAAGATGCAGCAGTAATCACCTCCTCCTCCTGCAAAGTCCTCTTTGCCCTTGCCCACATTGGAACTGTTCTCAACCGTGTGTTGAGTTCCTTGTCCTTCTTCTCCCCGGAGAAGGCAAGGGGCGGTTTCATTGGGGGCTTTGGGTACCATTGATGCTGTCCCTGTGGTGGAACAGTTTGTTGCGGTGATGGTGTAGCTATCACCGCTGGACCAGAAGAAGAAGAAGCAACAGTCTGTGTGGCTGCTGTAGACGTACCACTTGGCTGTGTCAGGTTGTACCGGAAAGGGGCCTGACATCGCCGTTAACGGCAACGGCGACTGTGCTGCTGGCCGTAATCCTGGCCTTTGCAAAAGGTCCAAGATTTGGTCCAAAGAGTTTTGCATGAAGTCCAGCCTGCTGTCCACGTGCGCATGCAGCGACAGTATGCTGGCCTTCAACACTTTCATTTGGTCAAACATAGCTGACTCATCCAAACCCTCTAATGCAGCTTTGTCTGCCTCTAACGTATCAAGCCTGGCTGTTCTATTTTTGATCTCTTTCTCCCTATCGGTAGCCTGTTTCAGTTCCCTCTCTAACCGAGTGCGGATCCTCTCGACTTGTTGGAGCTCTAGGAGCTCCCTGCCGCGTGGGGTCAACGGACTGAACTGCGAGCCCGCCATTTGACTTGTGGACTGACCAGAACCTAATGATCCGGAAGTACCTGTGGACCCAGGGGGCATCCCCAATTGGGTCCCAGACGAGGATGCAGCAGAGGATGGTGCTGCGGTAGCCATTGCTGCTGTTCTGGCTGCTGCTGCAGCCTGTTCCCCTAGCTGCAGCATTTGCTACTGCCAACGCCTGACTTGCAGCTAGTGCTGCATCACTGGCTGCTGCGAGAGCACGGGCTCTTACTTTGGCACGAAGCCGTCTCTCATCTCCCGGCTGTAGGGCCTGAAACACGCGCGGGACCATTAAAGATCTCGAACGTGTCAGCCTTGCATCGTCAACTCTACCCTCATCGGTGTCTGACCCACTTATCAGTTAGGCAAACACTATCTGCACTACAACTCCCTGCTTGAATCCTACCACAGCATGTGTTTGACCGACACCTAATTTTCTAAAAATAAATGTGTCCAACAGGTCCCCTACTCAACCGATCGAGTGCCAGCCTACAACATTCACAAAAGACCGTAAACATAATTTAGTATTATCATGATTAGCTCACTTACATAAGTTTGCATCGAACTGGCTATGGTAGTATACAACAGTCCTAAACTAAATTGTCTGTGAGGTGTTAGGAGTCTATCAACCAACTAATCAACAATAAAACTAAACAATGTTGCAGATGTATGAACAGTGGGTATGGTTGTGTTTACAGTTGAGCACCAATTAGAACCTACCCTCCCCTCAATCCAACATACCGATGAGCATCATTGAGCAGCGGTGTCATAGGTGTGCAACGAGCCGTACGTCCCAGGTGCATGCTTATGACCAGGTTTGCCCCAGGTGCATGCTTATGACCAGGCTTGCCCATTTTTATCCTCGCGTGCAACGAGCCGTACGTCCGACTCATCTGGCTGATCAAGAGGCCTATTTAAGGACTGCCCCCAAGGTCACTCACGAATTATTTAACGTCGCAATCAGGACGACGATCACAGCCAGTGGACAGATCGGATCCCCATCCATAAATGTTTATAGACGGTCTGGGAGCGTCTGCATAAGCCTGTTCAGTCCGCACACCCCTCTGCAATGACTTGCTGATTCTGACTGCCGAGATTGACTGTGAGGCTGTACACTAACCGGTAGGGTTAGATTCATAATTTTGTTTGGCTGAGGGCTAACCGAGAGACCTAACTATGAGGAAATTCGTGAGGGACATATCTGCAAACTTGGGAAAATATAGCCCTAACACTAACTGAATTTCCTACTACTACCCTAACTGCAAATAGCAGGCCCGGGCTACCCCTAGGACAGACAGGCCCTAAGTGGTCTATACTGATAGACGGTCCTATAGCCTATAGCCGGGTCCGGTAGAGGCCGAGAGGCCGAAACAGTGACGGTACCGGTCGGTCAGTCAGTCCGGTCTAGGTCTAGTGTAGTCTATAGATAGGTTAGGCCCATCGGTTCAGGACTTTTTGGCAGTTCATTTCTCGCGAAGCAGCGTTGGAGAAGCCAAGCAAGTTGGTAGTGGTGTCTGTTTGCAGGCGGCATCCTAAGACTTCGCCGTTGACAACAGCCATAGCCGGCCTTGTTTGAGTCTGCCATAGCTGGGGCATCCTCAGCGCATCTACCCCTGGGGGTATCTGCGTCTGGCTGGGCTACATCGAGGCTCTACACTGTGTGTTCGTGGGTGGTGGCAGCCATAGCTGCGTGTTCCTTCGTCAGAGTTGTCCATCTACACAGAAGACTTCATCGCAGGACCTGTTCTTCATCAGGGTAGTTGGTGCTGGCCTCTGGGAGGCCATTCTGATGTGGCGCTACTAACTGGGTGCAGGATAGAGAGTGGGGTGTGAGATCTGAGAGTGGCGAGAAACTGGAACAAACTTTGTTACGATAATTGTTTGAGTGGCTCATCATCAGTGTCATTTCAATTGTTATCCTCAGAGGTTCTTTCTTGTGATTGGTTGTTGGGAGTTTCGTCAGAGAGTGAGAAACAGTGTGTGTTGTCTCCCCATCTGTGCATGATTGTCTTCCGCTGCCTATATGGGCATGCATGAGATTGTCTGTGTGCGATTGGCGATAAAATTCGTCAGACAACCAAGTTCATAACAGTTGGTATCGGAGCGGGATTGGATTTGGAACACTAAGGGTTGAGCGCACTGAGGCATCTTCTTCATCTGGCGATCTACTGGCGAGAGTTTCATGGCGATTCATCTTCCCCAGTATTGAGTCAGCAGGGAAGAAGACTTTCAGCGGTGGATTCAAGTGTCCAGTGGTTGCACTGAGCAAGCGCACTGAGCCTGTCAGGGCGCTTGTAAGGAAGTGGCGAGTACAGGGCTAATTCGCCATAGCCAACCCTGAGGGTAATATTGCGAATTACCCCTGAGGACATCAGGGAACCCTGAGCGGCATCATCCCTGGGTAGCGCTGGCAGAGATTGACAGTTTGTATCAATCTCCAGGAGAAATAACCCCATCTGGGCTATTTTTAGCATCAGCGGCCACCAGGCACTGTGGCGAGATACTTTGGTGTTGGCATACTGGGCGCCACAGGACCAGATCCAGAGTATCTGGAGTGAGGGAGTGAGGGAGTGCAGCGCTGCAGGATCCTGAGGAGGATCAACAAGTTTGAAGCAGTTTTGTGCGTGGGATTGTCAGGAGGGATATCTGGAGGAATTGGCGAGATAAGGGTTATCATCAGCCATAGCCAGATCTTCATCATCACCTGCAAGATTCTCTGAAAGTGAGTCCGTTCCATGCACCTACCTGTATTGCGATCCAGATAGTATTAGACTAGTGAATTATAATGGTTTATTTGTCTGTCAGTGACTGGATGTGAAAATCGCAGACTGCATGACAGCCATAGTCTCTCTGCTCATTTCTCATCCTCTGTTAACTCTTTCGGATCCAAAATTGTCCTGTGACTGCTTTATTGCATTGCGATTGTTCTGGGATACTCAAATGGTGGATTCTGCACTGGAAAGGTAGTGATACTGTGAATTGCAGTTTTGCGCTGAGTCTATTTATAGCCTGTGCTAACTAGGGTCAGACGTAACTTCAATTCTGTCCGTCAGAATTCAATTCTGTCGGTCCCCAGTGAATCGCAATCCAAAAATAGTTAATCCTGCAGAATCGCAGAGTTGGATTTACAGCATTTCACTGGATACAGTGAATACTGTACTTCGCCATAACCTAGGGTATGATCCCCAGAGTTATCAGGGTCAAAATTGGAGTCTGAGTTAGGTTCAGGGTGTCTGTCTGAATCGCTTGGTTTGGTTGACCTCTCTTGTCTGTGCTAATCATCTTCCATCATTCTCACTGATGACACTTGTTTTCTAGTGGGCTCTGGAATTCTAGTGTCTCTGGAAGAGTAGTGGAGTGACTCTACTAACTCCTGTGTGGTGCAGGGTTAGTAAAAGGAAATTGTGTGCATGATTTTGTTGGACTTACAGTCTGTCTGACACCTGACCCCAGAGACCCCCTTCCAACCCAAACCGCTGAGTGCCGATACACCCACCTATTCCAGCGTTGAGATATTGCAGCGATTCCAGGGTGTCTGAAGGAACCTGAATCTCGCTGCATACTCTGGTTGCTGTCTGTTTTATCTTTCTGAATTTATTTGAAAGGAACCATGTCTGATCAGGGGGCTCAGCAGCAGCCACAGGTGGAAGTTGTGATGGTGGAAGATCAATAGCCTACAACCTCCACTCCTCCTTCTCCACCTGTGACTGCTACTCAGCAGGAGAAGAAGAAACTGGAAGAACAACTGCGGCGTCAACAGGAACGCCTTGCAGAACTGAGCTAGAGGCTGCAACAGATAATTCCAGAAGGGACTATCTGTTGCATCAGCTAGACAAGGTGCTCACAGATGAGCGATGTGCACAGGTGACTAAACACCTGGCAGAGACGATCATCTTGGAGCACAAGATCACCAGTTCCTATTTTACGAACTGGGATGATCGTTTTGTTCGTTTGGAGCGTCGGGTTAACAACCTGGCAGATCAGCAGTCTAAGATTCTGGATGCAATTTAGAACTCGACTGCTCAGCTGTCAGCCGCTAAGCTGATTGCCCCTCAGCTCCCTCTGCTGAAACCCAAACCTTCACCTTCTTCTACACCTCCTTCATCTCCCTCTGGATCTGCACATTCTTCCCGCACACCATCTCATTCCCAAAAGGCCTCAGGCAAGGCCACCTATGCTGCTGTTACTGCAGGAGACTACAGAGGTCCCAAGATCCCTGCTCCCAACAAGTTTAGGGGTGATGACCCCAAGACCGATGTTGGGGACTGGGCTGCTGGGACCAAAGCCTACTTGAGGGGCTTTGTTTGTGCAGAACAGACCAAGGTGGCGACTGTTCTGGGACTGCTGGAGGGGCCCGCACTGAAGTGGGCTACCTCAACCTCCAGCAGTCTGCAGCAGTCCATGGAGGACTGGGCTTTTGGGCTTGGGGTGGACAAACTTCTGCAGGCCCTGGAGGACCGATTTGCAGACAAGGAGCGGGCCCGCAAGGCTGCTGACAGGATTGCTCGCCTGGGACAGCAGCGGTACAGCGGCACCCTGCAGGCCTTGTTTGCTGAGTTCGAGCAGCTGACCTCCACCCCTGGGTTGGTCATGTCCACAGATGATCTGTTGACCAACTTCTGCAGGGAAGCGCCTGAGAAGTTTGTTGTTGCGTTGTACAGCGCTGGGCACAAGGACTGGAGGTCCTTTGGCCGTGCAGCCCTGGACATAGAGGCAAAGCTTCGTGTTTAGGCCCCATCCTCCGACAGGTGGAAAGGTGCCTTCCCTAGAGGTGGCAGAAAGGGAAAGGCAGCCTTTACACATGTGGGATCTGCGTCAGGTTCAGATTCAGATTCCCAGGCTGATTGGGACTGGATCTGCTCCTGATCCGGATATTGCAACAGCCCTGACTCAGGCTGTTTTGGGAGTTCTGCAGCAGCAGAATAAATTCTCCCCCACCACAGCCTTAGCCAGTACCAAGGGGAAGGATAAGGGACCTCGGCCTTCCTCTTCCCAGCGCCCTGACCTGCCCAGAGACATCTGAATGCCAGCTGAACCTCTCAATCCCTCCACACTCCCCTGGCATGACCTCAAGATCCAGTAGGGAGTCTGGAGAAGAAGAAAGGAGAGAGGGGTCTACCTGAGATGTGAGGGACAACACTTCCTGAAGGACTGCCCTTACTTGCCAGGCCCAGGTGGTTAGTCAAAAAACTGAAACAAAACCTGGGGACTGCAGTTCCCCCCAGTGCTGCACCTTCCTCTACTCAGGTAGATGAATTTGCAGTTGTTTCAGTTAAGACCATATGTGATGATGTTTGTTTGGGGACTGCGCGGGCAGCATCCTTCTGCTATGAGGATCCTGACCCGGATCAGGACCCGAGGCAGGATGAGCTTCAGTCTCTTGCAGCCTTCTTCCTTCATCTGAAGGAACAGAAGAAGTGCAAGTCTGATCTCATCATGCTTTGGCCCCTGATCAACCGCACCAGGATCACTGGGCTATTGGAATGTGGAGCCACCAGGAACTTCATGTCTCCCAGTGCAGTTAAAAAGTTGCACCTGGGCATGAAAGTTCAACAGCTGCAGCAACCGCTGCTGGTGAGGATTGGTGACTCTACAGTGTTGAGCATCAGGGAGAAGGTCAAGGGTATCCCTGTGACCTTCGACAGTGATGGAGAAGTCAGACACAGTCTGGACTTCTACATTTTTCCTGAGCTGCCCTTTGACTTGGTGTTCTCCATGCAGTGGTTGAAGGCAGTCAACCCAAGGATCGACTAGCAGATCCCAAAGGTTGAGTTACCTAATAGCCAGGGTGTGTATCAGCCATGGATGATTGCTGCTGATCACCACCCTAAGACATCTTGCTACTGCCTGAGAGCGAGGGAGTTTCATGCTCTGTCACGCCAGTACCACCACGAGCGTCGGTTTATTGCTTTGGTCAAGCAAATAGATGCTCCCCTTGTTTCCTGTCCTCCTGAGATACAGCAGGTGGTAGATCACTATGCTGATCTGATGTAGGAGCCCTTTGGGTTACCCAACCGGCCAACCAAGCATCATATCGAGCGGCTGCTTGGAGCGGTCCCTCCCAAGGGCCGCATCTACAGGATGTCCCCTGCTGAGCTTGAGGAGCTCAGAGAGCAGCTTGAGACCCTGACCAGCAAAGGCTGGATCAGACACAACACTTCTGAATTCGGTGCACCTGTTCTCTTTGTGCCCAAAGGGAACGGCGAGTTCAGAATGTGCATTGACTACAGGGGTCTCAACAAGATCACTAGGAAGAGTACTGAGCCACTTCCTAGGATCGACGACCTCCTGGACATTCCAGACAGAGATGTACCGCATCTTCAAGCCTTACCTGGACAAGTTTATGGTTGTCTACCTGGATGATATCCTGGTATTCAGCAAAACTGCCAGGGAGATGTCCTTCAGTCGTTAAGTGACAACCAGTACAAAATCAATAGAGAGAAGTCCTCTTTTGGAGTTCCCTCTGTCATCTATCTGGGTCATATAATCTTTGGAGATGGCCTGGCTCCTGAAGCAGCCAAAACAGACAGTGAGGGATGTCAGGTCCTTCATGGGTCTAGCCTCCTACTACAGAAAGTTTGTCAGGAACTTTTTTGCAGTGGCTGCACCCCTGACCAACCTAACAAAGAAAGACACTCCTTTACTTTGGTCCCTCCACTGACAATTGGCCTTCACACGACTCAAGAAGGCCTTGAGTCGTGCACCTGTGCTGAAGTTGCCCGACCCCACTCTGCCATTTATCCTGACCACTGACGCCAGTCAGTATGGCATTGGGGCACTTTTTCAGCAGGATGATGGGAATGGTCTGCGGCCTGTAGAGTTTATGAGTAAGAAGATCAAGACTCAAAAGCTCCAGCACTCTACCTACGAGAAAGAGCTATATGCTCTTGTTTGTGCCCTGAAACTGGAAGCACTTTCTCCTGGGCAGGCACTTCAAGATCTTTTCAGATCACTCCACCTTACAGTGGTTCAAGTCCCAGGGAGAGTTGAATGATAAGTTGACACGGTACATTCAGTTCATTGACATGTTTGACTTTGAACTGAAGCATCAGAAGGGCTGCTACAACAAGGTAGCAGATGCCCTCTCTCGTAGGCCTGACTCTTTTGCGCTGATCCTCTACTCACTCCTTTGGAGAGGAGACCCGTCAGACCATTGCTCGTCTACTGCCTCAGGACGAGACTTTCAGACCCATAGGAATCTGCAAGCAGATCCTAACTCTGAACCAGGCTATGCTCTGAGTTCAGACCTACTGTATACGTACAGTAGAGGGGAGGAGCGCTTGTGCATTCCCCAGGACCAGCGGCTCAGGACACTGTTGATGTCAGAGTGGCATGATGCCCGTGGACATTTTGGGTTCCTAAAGTCTTATGCAGCCCTGTCACGGCGCTTCTTCTGGAAGGAGATGCAGAGTGATATGCTGCGTTATGTGGACACCTATGAGATCTGCCAAAGGAAAAAGGTCCATCGTAGACCGCCTTTAGGACTGCTCAAACCCTTACCCATACCTGATGGCCCTGTTGAATCTGTGTCAATAGACTTCAAAGATTTAGGCAAGACCACCCCTCGTGGCATGCGTCACGTTATGGTCTGTGTGGACAGGTTTTCCAAATACGCAGAGTTCATCCCCTTACCAGAGGTAGCTAGGGTACCGGCTGTGAGAGCAGCCTTCTTTGAGAGGTGGGTCACACACCATGAACCGCCCCCTTCCATCGTCAGTGATCGAGACCCCAGATTCTGCAGCGACGAGTGGCAGTCCTACTGTAAGGACTATCTGCACTCACGATTGGACATGACTTCCGGTCACCATCCCGAAGCCAATGTTTTGGCTGAAGTGATGAACCAAGTCTTATTCCAGCTGCTGCGTCCTGTCATCTCTCCAGATCAACAAGACTGGGATCTTCACTTGGCGAGGGCACAACTCATGTATAACATGTCTATCCATTCCTCGACAGGGTTCAGTCCCTATCAGTTACACTGGGGACGGGAACCACGACAGCCTCTCGATGATATCATCGATAAGGCTAAGCCTGATCTGACACCAGGCACAGCAGAGTTCACCAGACGTTATCGTCTAGATGTGGAAAGAGCCCGCGCGAACTTGTTCAAAGCCCAAAAGGCTATGATTGAAGAAGTTAATCGCCACAGGCGGCCTTCCCCCATCCGCACTGGTGATCATGTTTGGGTGGCCAGTTCTGAGTTTTTGAGGGAGGAAGATATTTCCCCCAAGCTGTTGCCACGCTACCTGGGTCCATGGCAGGTCCTAGATACAGTGGGCGCTGATCCCTTCGGTCCGTCGTATGTTATCGACGCCCCACTGCATCTACGTACCTATCCGGTCTTTCATGCATCCAAGCTGCTACCGTTCACTCCAGCTGATGCATTTCCAGACCGGCCTCCTCAGTTTGGTCCACCAATCCCTGGCAAGGGATATGACATTGACCGGATTGAGGATGAGTGGGGCACAAGCCCCGATCGGCAGTATCTTGTGAGGTTCGCTTTTCAGCCTCCTTCTGAGAGCAGATGGTTTATAGAAGGGGACTTCTCAAGACAGCAAAGTCTATTGTGTTGCAATATGAAGCGGCTCAGAAGGGCAACCTTCCTCGCCGTTCACCTCGCCTGCATCCCTAGCTCGGAGGTCCTCGCTCCCGGGGAGGGTAAGCCTGCAATGACTTGCTGATTCTGACTGCCGAGATTGACTGCGAGGCTGTACACTAACCGGTAGGGTTAGATTCATAATTTTGTTTGGCTGAGGGCTATTCGAGAGACCTAACTGTGAGGAAAATTCGTGAGGGACATATCTGCAAACTTGGGAAAATATAGCCCTAACACTGACTGAATTTCCTACTACTACCCTAACTGCAAATAGCAGGCCCGGGCTACCCCTAGGACAGACAGGCCCTAAGTGGCCTATACTGATAGACGGTCCTATAGCCTATAGCCGGGTCCGGTAGAGGCCGAGAGGCCGAAACAGCAACAGTACCGGTCGGTCAGTCAGTCCGGTCCAGGTCTAGTGTATTCTATAGATAGGTTAGGCCCATCGGTTCAGGACTTTTTGGCAGTTCATTCCTCACGAAGCAGCGTTGGAGAAGCCAAGCAAGTTGGTGGCGGTGTCTGTCTGCAGGCGACATCCTGAGACTTCGCCGTTGACAGCAGCCATAGCCGGCCCAGTCTGAGTCTGCCATAGCTGGGGCATCCTCAGCGCATATACCCCTGGGGGTATCTGCGTTTGGCCGGGCTACATCGAGGCTCTACACTGTGTGTTCGTGGGTGGTGGCAGCCATAGCTGCCTGTTCCTTCGTCAAAGTTGTCCATCTACACTGAAGACTTCATCGCAGGACCTGTTCTTCATCAGGGTGGTTGGCGCTGGCCTCTGGGAGGCCATTCTGATGTGGCGCTACTAACTGGGTGCAGGATAGAGAGTGGGGTACTGGAACAAACTCTGTTACGATAATTGTTTGAATGGCTCATCATCAGTGTCATTTCAATTGTTATCCTCGCAGGTTCTTTCTTGTGATTGGTTGTTGGGAGTTTCGTCAGAGAGTGAGAAACAGTGTGTGTTGTCTCCCCATCTGTGCATGATTGTCTTCTGCTGCCTATTTTCCCTTGTGTGCAGTTTGGACTCTGTCTCCTCTCTCCCCTTCTCTTATGCATGTATGGGCATGTATGAGATTGTCTGTGTGTGAGTGGCGATAAAATTCGTCAGACAACCAAGTTCATAACACCTCTATCAACGCAGCAAAAAGTGCCCTCATGGACAAAGCAGCCATCGCATGCGTGTGCTAATCCCATTGGGTTGGCTTGGTGACCGTGACCCACGTGCTTCGACCAGGGCCCTTCAGAGGCAGCGCCCTTTCTCCTTCCAGATGCGCCATCGGGAAGATTGTCGTCTCTCAAGGTAGAGCGCTCACGACACCTCACCAAAAGAGAGGACTCTCAAGTTGGACTCACTTCCTCGCGGTAAGAAGAGATTGAGAGAGTAGATAAGGTAAGGGAACAACGTACCTGGAGATAGATGCCCCCAACCACAGATTTCTCACCAATTGCGCTGAGTGTGCATTTGATGACCAGTCGCAGCCTCGGTACCACCCACAACGCAATGCAGTGCCACCTCAGCTAAATGCCACATCAGCATGCACTCATCACCAATCATACATTCCGTTGTCACCACAGCATACCAAGCCCTACAGCCTTCCGGCGCACACCTCTCTACCCAGGTCGTGGGCCTAATATTGGCCTGACGCCACAAGAACCAACTGCGAAGAAGCATCGTCAACGCACCAAGTCTGTATAACGCCAGCGCACCAAGGTAAGCGGCGAATCGAACTAGCTCCGATACCAAAATGCAAGGAACATGAATGTGGACGAAGCACAAAAATCCAAATCGCAAAATCACACTGAAGTCCGAGTAGTCAAAGCAAGAGCAGATAGCACAATGGAACCAAGTAATCATCCATTCGAGAACGATACAGCAGAATCGTGAGTCAATGTCCAAGCCCAATCGGGCAACACCAACAGCATAACCCAATATAGCTCTCTCTCTTGAATGGCGCCAGGCGCCCTATCTACTCTACAGCCTATCCCTACAGCTACAGCATGAAAGCAACCAGACAACTTGACGACCAGCGAGTGATGACGTCAACACCAATGCCGACCTCCTCTCCACCAAGTACGTCTCTCTCTTCACCCTCACTCTCCCTCGTTATCCCACACAGCGCCCTTCACCTTCYGAAGAACCACCTTCGCCCTCACCTCCTTCTGCRCCCTCAGGCAGCCCGGCTATGGCCGCCAGCGCCCTGCGCCCAGGCTGYGCCCTACCGCTTAGCGCCAGCCTGCCTTCACCTCAGCCTAGCGCAGCGCAGCACCTCACAAATGCGCAGCATGCCGGCATTGCTCGCAATGGCSAAGATCCCTGCCCACTCGCCCTTTCTGCCTATATGCCAGTGTTGCGTGTGGGCGGCCTCCCTTCAGCCTGCGCCTGGGCCCCAGTACCTGTACCCAGGCCCAATGYGGTTGGGGCCCACGAAATACAGTTGCGCCCCTTTCATCAAGGCCTGCGTCCGGATTCAGCTAGTGGACCGGTTTCCCATTGGCATTTTCGGCCTCTGTTTCCAGCATGCAATGTCGGCCTCACGTTTATGTGTCCAGGGCCTAACCAATTCTGGGGCCCTGGTCCTTCTGCATTTGCAGAGATCTGATACTCGGTGCACTCCAACCAACTGGCGTGCGGCAACTGTATGGACCCCACTTCGTGAAACGTTGAACAGAAGGGGCTCTCGTTGATTTGCTGGCCCGCCTTTACTTAGGACGGGCAAGAGGCTTGCTTGGGGCCTTAGCCCAGAACATATGCATATCGGCAAGGCCCCGTCGAGGGCTCATTCCTCACAATAATAACTGGATACCGGTTTTTGATTCGTCCACTTACCATGTTTGTTTGTTACTAGATTTTCCAGCACTGGTGACCTCTATGTCTCATCCATGGTGCTGTTTCTGATTTGTCCACTTGTAAGTGTTTTCTTCTGCGTTTACAATTTCGCTCACAATATGTAAGTTGAGCAGCCGCAGCTGTGGGTGGGCTGCCGAACTGGATGGCATAATATAATCAGAAAGGCCATGAACAAATCTTGTGCAATCAGTTGGACCTGTACTAATATTTGGGTGAACCTTTGTGGTCTCTGCTTATGTTTGCAGATGGTCATGCAACGCCTCCTCTCTGAGTTGTCTGTACTTGAGGTGGGTTCAACTCATGACTGTGATCTGGACACTCTTCATGCTGCCTACGCCCGTGGATGCACTGTTTGCCTGCAGGATGTTGGAAGTCTGTGTCTAGTGAGTCTAAATGTGTACGGGACTTGTGTTTTTGCAAAGTGGTAATTGCAGAAAGAGGGCTTTTGCAAAGTTTCCCAGCAAATATACCGTCTAAAAGGGCCTTTACCCGATTGAGACCCTGTTCGGCAAATGCAGCAAAGAGGGGTCACCCGCCAGGGCCCAACTCGTGAAAGCAGGTCAAAGGACATGTTCTCTGGGTCAAAAGTCACATCCTAGCTAAGTAAAAGCTAATGTCAAAGGTCACAGT